GGAGGCTCGGAAACATTTCCCTCTCGTCTTCCCGCGTCTCGGGCCCATGCCCCTGGCTGCGGTCATTACTCGTTTCTGCTGACTTTCATGCCTCTGCAGGACTCCTTCCTCCTGCTGTTTCGGTCTCCAGGGTGTCGCCTTTCTGCCCCGTTGTTCCTAACGTTTTGGATTTCCTGTCTTGAAAAAACAAGCACCGGACTGCGCACCGTAGGCCCTAGGGACTGTGGTCAGCTGCAGCGGGGCTTGGCTTTGTGCAGCGAGAGTGTGCTCCCATGTTGGGGGACATCATACCTTGATACACACGTTTCATTATTATTTGCGCAAAGAAAATGCTATTTTTTGGAGCACAGAATTTTCATGTCTGATTTATGGTGATTTCTAAGAATAAACTGCTGGCAGAAAGGGGGCACCCCCACATTTAGACAGCCGATGTCTCTTATTAGCCAGGGCAGTTTGGGTTCCTGGTTTGAATTTAACATTCTTGTCAAACATCTCCAGTCACTGAAAGTTTTATCCGCTTCCCATGATCAAACTTCTTCCCACGATAGTGCACTTGATTCTCACCGTCACGTTGGGGGAAGCGTCGTGTGAGGGACTACAGTGGTGAGGGTTCAGAAGTTTGCCATTCCAAGTGCTCTTCGTTGAGGTGAAAACAGCTTCTGGTCATGACGGACGAGTTTCAGCCTCCGCTCTGATCCCGAGCCCGGCCCTAGAAAACAGAGCACATGTGTTTCAGGATGGGCGGCTCTTTTGCGGGACAGGACATTAGCGTTATTGTGTGGGCTGTTAGAACAGGCCTGGTGAGCCAGGGGGAGGCCAAGTCAGGTTACTTGGTTCACAGGTTCACAGCCACCCAGGGTATCTAGAATTGGCCATCCAGGATGGGACCAGAATTGGTTTTGCATAGAAGTGGCTAGCAGCAGCACCGTGCCGCTCTCCACACTCTGCCCGTGTCTGCCCCCATGCCTGGCACAGCGGGGCAGAGCAGAGATCTGCAATCTACATCTAACCTGGCTGCTCAGTCAAATCCACTCTTCACAAAAGCTTAGGGAAAGCGGCGGGCACAGTGGCTCACGCCTGTACATCCAGACGTTGACACTTTGGGAGGCCTAGGCAGGCGGATCACCTGAGGTCAGGAGTTCGAGACCAGCCTGGCCAACATGGTGAAACCCCATCTCTACAAAAATACAAAAATCAGCCAGGTACGATGGCAGGTGCCTGTAATCCCAGCTACTCAGGAGGCTGAGGCGGGAGAATCACTTGCACCCGGGAGGCGGAGGTTGCAGTGAGCCGAGATTGTGCCACTGCACTCCAGCCTGAGTCACAAAGCGAGCCTCCATCTCAAGAAAACAAAAAAATAAAAAAAACCCCAAAAAACAAAACCACACACACACAACGCTTAGAAGGGGCTGGTGTTCTGATAAGCACAGATGCCTGAAGAGCCAGTAGCCAGAGTGATTTTCGTTTTTTTTTGAGATACGATCGTGTTCTGTCACCCAGGCTGGAGTGCGGTGGCACGGTCACTGCTCACCACAGCCTCGGTTCCTGGGCTCTGTCAGTCCTCCCACCTCCCAAGCAGCTGGGAGGACAGGTGCGTGCCACCATGCCAGTAGTTGTTTTATTTTGTAGAGATGGGGTCCTGAACACATGGCCACAAGTGATGCTCCTGCCTCAGCCTCTTTTATTTTTTTGAGGCAGAGTTTTACTGTGTTCCTCAGGCTGGAGTGCAGGGCGCAATCTTAGCTCACTGCAACCTCTGCCTCCCAGGTTCAAGTGATTTTCCTGCCTCAGCCTCCCGAGTAGCTGGGATTATAGGCGTGCACCACCACGCCTGGCTAATTTTTGTGATTTTAGTACAGATGGGGTTTCACTGTGTCGGGCAGGCTGGTCTTGAACTCTTGACCTCAGGTGATCCGCCCACCTCAGCCTCCCAAAGCCTCAGCCTCTTACAGTGTTGGGATTATAGGCGTGAGATGCTGTGACCCAGGATGATTTTCATTTACAGTTTTTTGTTACGAGTGGAAAATGCGTATTTATAAAAATGAAGTAGTACAGACATGAACGTGTAGAAGTCTCTTTCATCCTTCTGTTAACGTGTATATCAGGGATGTCCAATCTTTTGGCCTCCCTGGGCCACACTGGAAGATGAAGAATTGCCTTGGGCCACACATAAAATACACTAACGCTAGCAATAGCTGATGAACTAAAAGAAAAATCACAAAAAAACCTCATACTGTTTTAAGAAAGTTTACAGATTTGTGTTGGGCTGCAGATTGGACAAGCCTGCCATATATATATTCTAGGTTTTCCTCTATAAGTCTACTAATGTGAAAATGATTATTGTGACAAATGTTTTTTTGACATGAAGTCTTGCTATGTTGCTCAAGGTGGCCACAAACTCCTGGGCTTAAGCCATCCTCCTGCCTCAGCCTCCTGAGTAGTTGGGAATATAGGTACTCACAACCACGTGTGGGTGATTATTATTATTTTTTAAACAAAAATGGGGCTGGGCGCAGTGGCTCATGCCTGTAATCCTAACACTTTGGGAGGCTGAGGTGGCAGATTACTTGAGGTCAAGAGTTCAAGACCAGCCTGGCCAACATGGCAAAACCTCAATTCTACAAAAAAATACAAAAATTAGCTGGGCGTGGTGGCACGCGCCTGTAGTCCCAGCTACTCAGGAGGCTGAGATGGGAGGATAGCTTGTACGTGGGAGGTGGGAGGTTCCAGTGGGCCGAGATCGCACCACTGCACTCCAGCCTGGGCAATACAAAGCCAGACTCTGTCTCCAAAAAAAAAAAAAAAAAAGTGGGTGGGGGCTTATACTATATGTGCTGTTTGGCACTGCTCTTTTCACTGAAACCATACTGCAGGTATTTTTTCACATAAGTATCTGAAGAAAGACTTCCTATTTTTTTTTTGCTTTTTTGAGACAGGGTGTTGCTCTGTTGCCCAGGCTGGAGTGCAGTGGTGAGATCACGGCTCACTGCAGCCTCCACCCCCCAGGCTCAAGCTACCCTCCCACCTCAGCCTCCCGAGTAGCTGAGACCACAGGCGTGTGCAACCATGCCCGGCTAGTTTTGGTATGTTTTGTGGGGATGGGGTCCCACTATGTTGCCCAGGTTGGTCTTGAACGCCTGGGCTCAGGGAGTCCTCCTGCCTTAGCCTCCTGAAGTGCTGGGAGGACAGGCCTGAGCCCCGTGTCTGGCCAGCCTGCTGTGCGAGGTCGTGCGGGACTCTCGTGGAACCCAGTGTGCCTTCGTGTGCTGGCT